ATATTTAAAATTCATATTATTTGAAAATGTTATAAATCTAATAAAAAAATTTGTTAACAAAAGGATATTTTAACTAAATCATACAATAAATTATAGAAGATAGAACATAAAAAAAATATAGTTTTGGATATTCATATTATTAAATCGGGTATTAAAGGATTTTTCTCGGGTCGGATCTAGTTAGATTGATTCTTTCAGATCTGTGTATATTAGGCTCGGTTCTTTTTGGTTTGGTTCTTTTGAATAAAAGTGTTTTGGACCCAATTATAATTTTCGATTTGGTTTCGATCGGATATTTTCAGTTCGATTCCAGTTTGAATTTTCGAGTTTGGTATAAAATACTCAGGCTAGAATAAACACGTATTTTAGATTTATTTTAGATTGGAAATACAGCGGGTTGGAAATGCCCCTAAGCAAGCAATGAAGTTGATATTTAAGGAAGGTTGTTTATTAGTAGTATATTACCAAACGCAAGGATAAACGTGGATGACCGCATCAAGACATGTTACTAATCCCGAAATCTTAAGCAAAGTTCTATATTATAGTATATATATCAAGAACACTACAAATAATACAATGTACTAATGTCGAATGATAGAACCCTTAATTTATCTTTAAGAAAAAATGTCAAACCATAGAGTAACATCATTTTTCCTTTCTTTATTACTAAGACGGCCGAATGATATAATAATTGAAAAAACTACAATTTTACAAAATTGGACGCCGAATGATATAATAATTGAAAAAACTACAATTTTACAAAATTGGACGACTGGTAAAACGTTTAGAATTTAATAACCATTTTACCATTCTATAGTTTTGGGGATTGATAATCAGACTTTTAAATGATTTTCTAGTCGTAAATATTCATTACACATATATTAATCTTGTTTTTGTATACAAAGAGTTTATCTATATATTTTAGTTGATTTGTAATTTTTAGATTTAACAAATAACTTTTTAAATTTAATTTACAAATCCATATGCATTCTTTTAGGTTTGTGTTTTTTTTTTTAACATAGTAATCTTATATATAATTTATTCCTCTATCAATAAATAATAATAATTTATATATAATTTATTTATTTAATAAAATTAAATATTTTTTCTCCAAAAATAATTTAATATTTTTAAAAAATTACATTTTTAGATAATTATATTTTACGTATAAACTATAATATAATTTATATAATGAATAAGATTCATTATTTTTAATACCAAATATATTATTAATATATAATATAAATATATAAATATATTTTAATATAAATAATTATTTATATTAACTATTATAATAATTTTTAAATTTGTATACTGCTACTGCTCTGACAATCACTTTATTAAAAATTTCACTTAAAGCATACAGCTTCTTCAGCATACAGCCTATACAGCATACTGCTAATGTTTTATCATATATTTAAATACAAATAGGTGACTTTCATAAAGGTTTTTAAAATCATTAATTAAATAATAAAATTTGGTTTGACTTTCTAAATTTATTCAAACCCAGTAACCAGTAACTTTCACAAAATGTTGCCATTTGTGTTAATGCACTATTGTAGATGAAAATGGAATGTAAATAACTGAACTTTCCGTTTGTGGACGTGGATAGATATGGAAGGACGAACTGTCCAAGATTCATATTTAACTGTGCATTCAGATAACAATGAATAAAAATTATTAGAATTAGACCCGCGCTTTACGCGGGATGAGATGAATAAATTTGTTTTATTTTTTGAAGATAAGAAGATATTAAATCTGTTGTATTTGGATATTAGTTTGTTTTGGATTGGTTGTTTCGGGTTTTAATATCGTCCAATTATATATCTATATTTTAAAGATTATTTTTTTGGTTAAATTGCGATTGTAATTTAATGGTGATAACACAATGACTAAAATTAATTATTTAGTGTCATCTTATATCAAATCAAAATTATTGTAAAATATAAATAATTAATTCATTAAATAATATTTCATTAAATATTTTTAACTAAATAAAACACACTTATTTACTCTTCTTTTCTATTGATTTGCAAGAATGATGGAGTTAGTGGTTTTGTTATCTAAAAAAGCTCAGGTCCTATATAACCTGCACCTTGTGTGGGATGAGATATTTAATTTAGTTATTTTTTAAATAATAAAATATTAGGTCTGTTTAATTTGTATATCAGTTCAATTTTATGTTGTTTTTATTTGTTATTTTTTTATTTTTAGTCTATTAAAATGTAACTATCATTGAAATCCATTATTTATTAGGTTTAGTTATGATAAGCCTTCTCGCATATTTCATTTTTGGTAATAAAACATAAATTTTATTATTTTTTTGGTTCCATATTATATGAATTTTATACAGTTCTGATGTTGATCTAATGTATCGTTCTATAATTTCCATGTACTCTTATTTATTCTTTTATATAAAATTGTTTATTTATACTCATAGAAGTTATTTTTAAGAGTTTATTAATATTAATGTATTAATAGTATTTTATGTAATTGATTTTATTAGTAATTTTATTATATAAGTTTTTTTAATTTCCTTATAAACTTAAGCAATTAGATTTTGTAGTGGTTATTGAAAAAATACAAAAAATAATTTCTACACAAAATGAGATGGTATAGGTTTTAAAGCCAACATAGATTAATCAAAAATAGGCCGTATATCAATGTGTTTTTTGTTTGATATGTGATCTTTTACAAAAAAAAAAAGTTTAGTCAAAGCGATTAAGAAAAAAAAATTACCTTCTCCCCTCTTACCTACTGCATCTAGATGAAGAATGAAGAGCAATCGCTAGTAAGCTGATACAAACAAAATACATATCAGCCAGAAGCCTGTGAACTTTAGATGCCGAGAACACTACTTTTCTTCCACATTAATTTGAATGGTTTCAAATCAGACACATAAGTTATCGCAACCATTATATATAGAAGAATGAGTTAAATTTCTAAAGTTTCGGATTTAGGAAATGACTAAAAATGAATGGGAGAAGTGAGTCTTATATAGGTTTATTGTACATAATGTCGTCATTCACGTTGTATCTCCGAAATATCATATATTTTTACTTTTTTCAATCACTCTTTGATATATATATATATATATATATATATATATATATATATATATATATATATATATATATTTATTTATTTCCATAACCTTAAAATGTGAATATATAGTATTTAAAATCATTAATTTACTTTGCATTTCATTCATGGCAATTAAATATTGTCCGAAGCCACCATAGACGGTTTAATTTGGTATGTGTCCACTTGATTGATATCAGTTTAATATTCTTAACCATAATATTATCATTTACCTCTACAACAATTGACCATTTTCTTTCTCTTGAAAACAAAAACTTACGTGCATGAGATTATGCTATTGTATTTATTTTGATTCCAATATGTATAAAATCAACAAAATCTTGCCTTAAGGATCATAAGCTATAACACAGCATTGTTTTCTTCCTATGATGTAGATAAAGAAATTATCATCTCTTACATGCGTGTGAGTTTCTTTTTAGAAGATTGATTGAAGTTTTTTCGATTATATATAAAAAAGACTGCCACCCATGATCAGGAAAAAAAAAATTTCTTCTGATTATATATATATAACCAGCCTTGTACATGACATAACGTGAACCTACAAAAGACAAGACAACCACAGACTCTTTATAAAAATATTCAATAGTTGACCAAAATCTCGTACACACTACTCATTATTTCAAAGATTTTGTACTCATCTCCAAAGCATCATTACTAAGACCATGGACGCTTAAACCCGAGATCATCGAGTGACATGTACTTAGATATTTCTTCAAAGTAGCTCTAAACACTTAAAGAGCCTTATCAATTCTCCCTCACTTCGAATACATATCCACAAGAGCTGTTGCTAAACACCCAAAAATCTCAATCCCATTCTTGTCAATATAAACATGTACCCATTCACCTTGACTCCATAATCCAAGATTGGCATACGCAGATAAGACACCAACATAAGACACCAACGAAAGTAAAACCATATGTTTTCTCGGCATAATTGTTAAGCATCTCATTCACACCTGTAGCAACCAGCATGTGCATAAGCACTCACCATCGCGTTCCAAGAAACCACATCCTTCACAGAATTCCATCTCAAGGAACTGAAGAGCGAGAGCTCGAGGTAAGACTTGAGCAATCTCATGATCACGAACTCTCAGAGACTCTAACTACTTACTCCAGATTCAGCTCCTCCATCCACAATGCATACATGTCTTTGGTTTCTTAATCAGACGCTCCTCCACTTCTTCTCGCCAACTATACCCTGATTTGCTCTTCCCTCGCTTGTTACAGAGCTACCGCCTCTCCCCGCCGTCAGCTGGTGGTTCTGCTTGATGACGCATGCGAAAATAAGGAGTTGCATTGATTTGATCGTCGTGTTGATCAGCAGAATTAAGCTGCAAGAAGTCCTCCTTGCAGCTTCATCATCGTCTCAAAATTATAAGAAGAAGCGAAAACATAACTCTTTCTAGCTTCATCAGCTTGTTGTGTTAAAACTGAAGATTTGCAAGAATGATGGAGTTAGTGGTTTTGTTATCTAAAAAAGCTCAGGTCCTATGAATACATGTGACATTAGAAACAGGTTTCAGTTATTTTTTTCGTCGAAGATTGACACAAAAGATAATAGCTAAGCTTCCTCTCACAAACCTTACACAAACACATATGCTTACTTGGCAACAACAACATACACTCAACTCCACAAAATGTACAAAACTTATGTTAACGTCGTCATCGTTTTACTGTTTCTCCCATTGTTTCACGTCATCTTAACGTCACCGTGAACCAAGAAGCCGTGTCATCCACTTCGCCGTCTCCACATCATTCAATGCTATCTCTTCGTTGACCATATATGAGCTCGCTCCAGATTGTAGTTGAGAGCAGCGATCATGTTCACGATGTACTTTGCACGTTTTCGTCATGCCTCAGCTTTCATTGTTATCTTTTCGATACAAACCTCCAGTTCCTTACTTGAGGTTTTTCATCTCGAGTTCCTCGCCTTTGTCTCGCGGAGTTTCTGAACGACTCTTTCCTCCATGAGGGATACATTCTTCGATTAACTCATCTGGATCTTCTTGAGGATCACATGGAGTAGTTGGTCTCTTTGTTAAAGATAAATTAAATCAATACATCTAAGAACGTAACATAATAGATGAATCATCGCAAGATAATTGTGAGAAACCATTAAAAAATCTTTATATGTAAAGACATGTGATATGGAAACTTATAAAATCTGTTTTATGAATTTGGCAATATTTTTTGTGGGAAATTTTCTGGAAGCGACTCGTCAGCATTGTCTCAAATTCAATGTGAACGAATTTAATGCAAAATGCTTCTTTTTTAATATATAAGGCATATGTTGACGAAAAAAAAACGATATGGAAGGACGACAACTGATGTATAAAACCAAGAACCAAAATATGTCATATTCTTGTTAACCACTCAATGCAACCACTCCAATATTCCACACTTCCGTTACGTTCCGTGACCACCTAGAAGGACACATCTGTATTAAAAGAATATTTTTTTTTTTGGTAAAATGTTAATATTATACCATTTTTTAATTTTTCACAATGTTGCAAGCAACTTATTACACGAAAAGAAACAACAAGACAACACAAGAACACAAGTGGAGACCTCAAGGGGGTCTATAAGAAGCAAAATACAACTGCAGGAGCGAGGGGCCGGCTGGAGAAGTTGCTGGAAAAGATAGGAGCCGGTCACGGAGAAGCCTGTCGAGCGCCAGATGAAGAGCACTCGAAGTGGAAGACACCGAGGTGAAGATGCGTGCATTTCTTTCTCGCCAAATTATATAGATGATGGACTGAAAGAAAAGCTGGAGGAGGATGACTTGTTCTCTGCATAATAGACGAGTAGACGTTGCAATCCAAGAAGCTGCTGCGTGCAAGTCTGCAGGCGGATTAAGCAAGATATTTGAAGCAAAGCTCAGCCAAAGCGCAGAGGAGAAGCTGCACTCGAAGAACAGGTGGTGGTGCGTTTCCTGTGCCGAGGAGCAGAGCACACACTGATCAGTCACATTTAGACCCCATCTTCGAAGTCTGTCCTTTGTAGGCAGTCGTCGAAGGAGAGCCAACCAGGCCATAAAGGTGTTCCTAGGAATATTTTCCTTGAACCAAATAATTTTGTGCCAAAACACTACCGGAGCAGGAGCGCGTAAATACTCCCAAGTTAACTTGGAAGAGAAAGAAGGACCAAAAGAGTTTCCTGACTTGCGCCATAAGTAATGATCAGGTCCATTCAAGGATGTAGGAGGGTCAATTGAAGTGATTACGATCTGGATACTCTGGATTTCATGCGATCTAGCCACCGGGAACCGCCACGACCCATCAACCGTTGCATCAAACACTGAAGCACTATCCCTTACTCTTAAACTGCGAGGGCCACCTTGGCCAGCAACTTCAATTAAAGGCCCCAATTCTGTCCAATGATCATACCAGAAGCTAGCAACTTTCCCATCTCCAATAACACATCTCATGAGGTCCGATAAAATTGGTTTTAGCTGCAGCATACTCCGGATCGTGGATGAGAAACGAGATGAGTCTGGAGTCTGCCAGAATCCATTACGATGGAAAATATATTTTCTCATCCAAGAAACCCAAATAGAAGCCGGTGCTGAGAAATAAGACCATACTCTTTTTAGACGAAACACTGTTTCGAACTCTTCCAGATGCCTAATACCAAGGCCTCCCTCTGCTTTTGGCATACATATATCTTGCCAAGACACACGCGCTCCCCTAGCTGAGGTTGTTCCATTCTTCCATAGGAAAGCTGCACATAAAGAGTCAACCTTTGCATAGAAAGCTTTTGGCAAAACAAAGACAGCACTCCAAAAGTTTACCATCCCATATATAACTGATGCAACAAGCCTAATTTTACCAGCAAAGGATAGGCATTTCACTGTCCAAGAATGCAACTTTCCTGTTATCTTATCAAGGAAAGGCTGTAAGGTGGCGAGAGTAAGTCTACCCAGATTTAAAGGCAGGCCAAGATATCGAGTGGGGAAGGTACCCTGCTTGAAACCCGAGGTAGCGCTTAGCATAGCAGCTTCATTATCATCATAATCCCCAAAGAAAATCTCTGATTTAGACGGATTCATCTCGAGCCCCGACATATTTTTAAATTCCATCATAACAGTAGAGATTCCACGTAACGAGGAGCAAGACCCATCAGAGAAAACAAGAAGGTCATCAGCGAAAAGCAGGTGCGTAACTGTAGGATCTTCACACTTTGGATGGATTTTTATCTTGCCCTCTACAGCAGCTTTTTCAAGGATTTTGGATAAAGCTTCCATAACCATAATGAAAAGGTATGGAGAAATGCAGTCTCCTTGCCTCAGCCCCTTTTTTCCCTTGAAAAAACCTGCTAACTCTCCATTTATAGACAGTGAAAATCTTGGTGACGTTATGCACTCTTCTACCCATTCCCGGAAGATTGGTGGAAAGTCTTGTGCCTCCAATAATTTTAACAAAAAATCCCAACAGATGGTATCAAATGCTTTCCTAATATCAACTTTCAGCATCGAACTCTTTGCACAAGTAGCCTTCTCATAGTTCCTTATCAGCTCTGAAGTAAGAAGAACATTTTCTCCAAGACTTCTCCCTTTTAAAAACGCAGATTGGTTAGGGCTAATGCAATGCTTGAGAATAGGCTTTAGTCGATTAGCAATGATTTTTGCTATGACTTTGTAAGCAATATTGCAGCAACTTATCGGTCGGAACGCTCCGAGCTTGCAAGCCTGAGAAGTCTTAGGAATTAGAACTATTGCAGTATTATTGAGGTTCTTTAACAGCTTTCCATTTCTGAAAAACTCTTGGACAGCAGCAACAAAATCATTTCCCACAATCGCCCAGGACGATCTAAGAAATTCTACTGAGTATCCATCTGGTCCGGGACTCTTGCTAAGAGGCATGGAAAAAACTGTCTTTGTAACCTCCTCGCTTGTTACATCCTTGACTAAATCCCCTTTTTGTTCCTCTGAGCATCTAAAGTCCATCAGCTCTCTTAGCTGGTCCAACGTTGCCGGTGATTGCATCAGTTCTGTCTCGCCCAAGATATCCTTGAAGTAGTCAACAGCATGATCCTTAATACCCTCAGCCGTGTTAATCAAGTGATCCTCCGAGTCCCTAAAGAAATGAATGTGGTTACTGCTTGCTCTTTGGATCACTGATTTATGGTAGAAATTAGTCTCTGTCACCTAAGTGGTTCCACTGAACCCTGGATTTTTGGCGATAAAATTTCTCTTCAGCCTTGGCAAGCACATGTAGCTTCCCTCGTTCCTCATGTTCCATTCTAGCAGTCTCAATATCAGGGTTAGATAGAAGCTGTCGCTGAATCAATGCAACCTGAGAAGCCTGCTCCTTCACTCTCAGGGAGATACCACTGTAATTCCTAGCATTCAAGCTCCTGAGGGCAGGCTTAAGAAGCTTGAGGGCACGTGCAAGGCGGAACTGCTGAGATCCCTGAATGGTTCGAAAATTCCAAGAGCTCCTTACTGTATCCAAGTACTCCGGATGATCTATTGTATGGTGGAAAAACTTGAAAGGTTTACTCACCCTCCTAGTTTGAGAAGGCATCCTAACCAGACAAGGTGCATGGTCAGATTGTTCCGGTGCCAGGAAATCGCAAAAAGAATCAGGGAACATTTGAGCCCAATGATGATTGATTAGACCATGGTCTATCTTTTTCGCCACTGGGTTTGCATCTTGATTGTTCCACCATGAGTAAGTAAGGCCGTTTGCCTGGGCCTCAAACAGTTCGGCTTCCTGCAGTGCTAAATTAAAATCCTCCATCCCAGCAGTATCAATATCACTTGTTAGGTACTCAGAATGCTGGTCAGCCCTTAATATCTGGTTGAAATCACCTAATACTGCCCATGGGTATCTTGATGCTGGGGTATTAGCATTTATAGATGCCAACTCGTTCCACAATTGCTGCCTCTCCTCAACCTCATTAAACCCATATACGAAGCTAACCGTGAGAGAGAGGTTTTCAGCCAAAATAAAGATACCACAAGTAACCACTTGCGGCGAAGACTGATAGATCGTTACCGAAACATTCGGATGCCAAACGACAATGATCCTAGCAGAAGATTGGTTATCCGAGTTCGCAAAATGCTTCCATCCAGCTGGAAGAGCGCTCGATATCCTACTTGTGTTATTATGTTGTATTTTCGTTTCTAGGTACGCTCCAAAAAGGGGCTTATATTTTTCTATCCAGTCCTTGACTGAGGTGCGGCGTCTTTCACTATTCAGACCTCTTACATTCCACGCAAAAAACATGATTCAATTAAGCTTTAGTAGCCTTTCGGCTACCCTTACGGTTCGAGACCAGTAAGAAAGGTTCCTCTGAAGCATCTGCCTTATCAGGATCCGAGGCAGTATCTTCATCTTCGTGATAAACATGAACTGTAGAAAATCCCAGATTCCTGTCCAAAGAGATCACCTGTTTTGGTGGAGATTCCTTTACGCAAGGTTTATCTGGTGAGAGTTCCTTAGATGATTCAGCACTTCCTACATCAATATCCAGTTGGGGGTCGTTTACTGATTCCTTCGGAACACTGAGAGTATTACTCGGAGCAGCAGTTTTGCATTCTTGTTCCATAACCGGTAACCCACAGTGTGGAGTAGAAGGCCCTGTACTTGTAGCAGCAGAAGGGTCTCTGGCCCTATAATGAAGATCACGTCTCCTTGCCCGAGCAGATCTTCCAGGCCTAGAACGCTTCCTACCCTTATCCTCACGACTCAAGGACCGTTGTGATGGAGACACAGCTCCATGAGAGGCTGGTGGATCAATAGGTCTCCAGTATGGACCTGCAGAGGGACATAGCTGATGTTTGTGACCAAACTTCCTGCATTTTGAGCACTTATCTGGTAGCCAAGGGTAAGAAACAGAGATCTCCACTTCCCTCCCATTTGAAAATCCAGACACAACCTTTTCTGGTAATGTAGCCAATAAATTAACTTTTACCCACACTTTAGCAACTTCAAAATTTTCTTTTCTCTCAGTTTCTGGTGCTAAAGAAACAGGTTTACCAACCGCAGTGGCAATCCTACTCAAGCTCTGCTGATTGAAAAGAAGGTAAGGTACACCTCTGAATTCTACCGGCACCACTGCTGACGTTAGTTGAGGTTGTTCCGGCGTGAACTCAGGTGACCAAGCTGCGACAAACATTGGGCATCCCTTAATCATCCAAGCCTGACGACTCAGGAGAGCATCCCTGGTTCTCTCATTTGTAACCTTCAGTAAGAAGGTTCCTTCTCCAATCTTATGAACAAATATTCTGGGTCCTGAACGAGCCCAAATCGCATTTACTACACCAATAATTCTTCCCATTGGTGGGATGTCTCCTGGAAATCGAGCAAAGACAAATTCTTTGAATTCCTCCTTAGCGGATTCAATGTTGTCATCAGGTATCATCACAAATAGAGCCCCAGAAACGTGAGTAGTTGGCGTTCCCAACTCCTGAAGGAGAGATGACTTTTGAATCCTTGCAGCCATTGTTTGTGCCGCGCAGTCCACCGTAGGAGAATCAGATACAGGGTCTTTATCCTTGTGTGAGTTCTCCAATTGAAGATCTGAGATAGTCTTAGTACTGGAGGGTGAACCTTCAACAGCACATGAAGACGAAGCATCCGTCAAACTTAGCTTCTCGCCCAACGAATTGAGCTCATTAACTAAATCGGGAGAGGACTGTACTTCCTGAACATCACCTGCAGCAGATTGAGCAGTGGTTGTGAGAAGAGTAGCGGGTTTAGCAGTGGAGGCAGAAACCCCCGCTCTGAGAAACGCGAGACGACCTAGCTTAGAGGAGGCCGCAAACATCAAAGCACCGGGTTTTTTGCGCTTTCCCATCGAAGGGGAAAAGCCAGTTTTCAGGTAAGAAGGGGGGAGACAGAGAGTTCTCGACGGTGGCGTGGTGCCGGAGCCGTCGGCGCGAGTAGGTGATGAGAAACCCTAATCGCCTTTCAATCGCCAGAGGAGAGGAGTCAATACATGTGTTGTTGTTCTTTTTTTTTATCTATTAAAAGAATATTAACATCATTAACCCAGCTAATTGCATGTATATATTATTATGATTCAGTAGGACATTTCTGACTCCTTTCCTCCGAATAATGACCTCATATGATAAAACGCACGTCTCATTTGAAATCTTATAAAATTATATAAGTAATTTTAACACCTTTAAATTAAGAACAATTGCAAGCCGTCCATAGGGATGTTGCTCCCTATCTTATTTACAAGCCCGTTTTGTTCGAGTTCTGAAGATTGCACAATGGTGGCATGAATTGCTCTGATCCTTTCTCTTCATGCTGCATGTTGCATCGCCGTGCAGAAAGACATAAACCATGCAAGAAAACATTAGTGCTGGAATATAGTAATAGTCAACGTTTGTAGCACTACAATTTTCAGCAGGCGAAGAATCTATAAACTTTCAAAAAAATTATTTAGTGACAAATGCTTTCAAACACACAACAAGGCCGACCTGTCCCGTCTCAGTAGATTCAAAGTAGTAACCTTAACTTTTTTTACTATACTATAAACCGACTTTTAATAAATAACTTTAATTAATTAGATGTTAAACTATGTATGTTAAGACCAAATTTACATTAGAATCTCGAATGTATTTGTTTCAAAAATATACAAAGTGTGTAAACGGAATTCAAATGTATTTATTTTTTAAAAAAATACAAAATGTCCAAACTTATTTGTTCGTCTTTTTCTATTTTGACAACTTTCAAATTCGTCGTCTGTATTTGAAAGTACCAACATTAATATTTCATTTAGACAAATGTTTTCCTCTTCTACAAAAGTGTCTAGTCCCCGCCGAAAAGTAATGCTTAAGACTTGTATGATGTCCCATTGACTGATAATAATAGAATACTAGCTGATAATCTGAAATTTTAATTACTAACAGTTGTTGCATATTAACTTTGTTCTTTCTAAAACAATTATATCATGTCATATATCCAAAAAGTATTACATATTATGGACATATACTATAATGATGTTGCGTATTGGGATAAAGCATTGATAAACTGATTTCATAAAATCTTAATTAATTAAACCTTAGAGCTGAAACAACACATAAGAAATTTAATTTGTGATCCAATTTTTATCAGATATAGAAAAGATAAACATTAACATAGTGATTTTTTTACTTAAATCTATAACTTTTGTGCTTACCGTAGCGTTTCTATTAATTCACATTTTTGTCTTTGTTTTAGTTTCGCACAACTTTTCTCGGAAAACATGAGTTTTGATAGATTAAAAGAAATTTTCGACTATACTCATCAATAGAGATCTGTGCATTACGCAAGATGAATATTATATAAAAACTTATTTTTACATATTATTATTTATTTTATGGTCATTATGTATTATGAAATAATAATTATAATGAATAATTGAGAAGTTTGTAAATATTATGTACATAATTAAATTAGAGTAAGCACATAAATAAAAATAAATAACTCATAATAATCATTTTATTTATCTATATGATATATCATTAAATTTAAATGATATTGACATATATAGTATATTTTAATATAAATATTTAATGGAAGTTTCTTAATTCCTACGCATATGATTTTACTATAATTTCTATAGTTGATGTAACAAAAACTAAATTATTATCAAAAATTTCAGTGTGAAATTTTTTATAGTTTTAGTAATTTATAATCGTTTTAAAAGATTTAATGTAAATTTCTAAATTACAATAATCAAATTGCAATACCTTTTCAATAATTTTATATGATATATAGTTTAATTTAAAAATATTAAAGTATATATATAATCTGAATATATATTAGATAATTTATATTCATATGATTTTACAAACATTTGTATCTTTATATAAAAAATCATTGTTCACAAAATTTTAGCTGTAAGACTTTTAACATTTGTAGTAATTTATAGTTGTTTTTAAAAATCCAAAATATAACATATACGGAAAAAATCTAGATTTTTTTATTATATGGTTAATGTAATTATTTATTTTTTAATAATATAAATTAAACAAAAATGATGGAATATAGAAAAACTATTATCTAATATTTTTATTTAAAATTATTAATTTTCATATATATATATATATTAATTATATAGGTAATTTCGTAGTTTTTACTTAAAAATAAAGAAAAATATTTTTATGCACTCCATATCTTGATAGTTAATTTAATAAAAAGCATACTCTATATTTAGATGAACCAACCTATTTTCAAAAAATTATTAAAATCATCTTAATGAGGACACTAGGTTATACTTATTTTCAAAAAATTATTAAAATCATCTTAATGAGGACACTAGGTTATACTTAAATGTTGTAATGCTTTAGGATTAATTTAGGGGATGGGTAATTTAGACATATAATTATTAGATGTTCAAAAAAAAGATCATATAATTATTTTAGCATCATGCAATTTTTTTTAATTACTATTAAAATTGGACGATCACCATATTATAAAAATTATAAGCTCCAAATGATACAAGAAGAGAGAGCGAATTAATAATTTAAAAACTATAACACCCCAAATTTTGTATCTTATTTTAGCTAAAGAAGTTCAAAAGTCGAAAAAACAAACGTTAAAAGGAATTTACATCTTCATGAATCGATTCCACGCATGCTATATCAAACTTTGATAGGGTTGGCATTACTATGATCTATCAGCATTTCTCAGTTCCCACAATTCGTTTTTAGGAACCTCCTCAAAAAAAGACATACAAATAAATTATTCAATATCTAAGATAATTTAATCATTAATGAGAAAGGCGTAATACATTCGATAGTATTAAATATATCCAAGGCTTTAATTTCTTGTAATATTCGACTATGGGTAATAATATATTTCCCAAAACTAACAGATCGTGTAATATTCGACTACGGGTAATAATATATTTCCTAAAACTAACACACTGATAAGTTAACTACTAAACACCACCCAAAAAAAACAAAAAAAAAAAAACTTAAAACTCTCAAGACCTCGACTCTCTGCCTCCGTCTTTGCTCCGGTGTCCGGCTTTCTTCGTCGGCGCCGGAGGCTTTCTCATTTTTCTCTGTCTTTAATTGCTTCTCTTCCTCTCTCTCATGGTTCTCTGATATGCTTGTAGTTCTGGACGGGGGTTTCGCCGGCATCTCACCTGCTCTGCTTGAGAGGTTGCAGATCTGGTGGCGGTGTTTGTGTTCTGGAATCTCGGCGAGGTTAACCGGTGAGGCAGTGGAAAGGAGTCGGCTTTTTAGGGTTTGTGCTCTCAGATCTGTTTTGTTTTTTAGATCTGAGATTGGGTAGCAGCTTGCGGCGGGGATGTGTAGTCCTGCTTCAATTCGAGGTTGTGTGGTTCGTTTGTCATCCTTGTTCTTTCTCTTGAAAGAAAGGGTCTTGTTTGCGTTTTGAGCAGAGCTGTGGAGGGTGTTTGATGCGGCTCGTCTTCGGGGTGTTTCGGTTCGGCGGTCATCCTCTTCTCCCTGAAGCGTTTCATCGGAGATTTCATTACTCGGTGGCGCGTGCAAGGGTCAGATGTGGTTGTGTGGTCATGTTTGCTTCTTGGTTCAGCGCGTGAAGGATTTTTGGAGGTTCGGAAATGGTGAGTCGTTTATGGCTATGGCGTGTGATGCTTCTCCTGTCCTCTTCGCTTTCTACACTCTCTACCAGAGTCCCGTGGTCTTCTTCCCTTAGTGACGGTGACGACTACTGCTAAGGTGTTCTTCGCTCTTGGTTCTTCATGGTCTCCTCCGTTTGTCGCAGGAGGTGCTCTTACAGTCACTCCTTAGAACTGGTCTTTGGTTCTCAAAGCCGGGCTTGAGGCGATTTCATCCGGTTTGTCGGGTTGTTCTACGACTCCAGGTGCTTTCGGCGACTCCTTTAGTTCGGAGTTTTCACATCCCAGCACCAACGTGATCCTTGATCTCTTTGGTGGTGTTGCTCCCTTTCTTTCTTTGTGCAGGTGAAAGAGCTTTTAGGCTTCCGTTCCGCTGCTATCCCAGACCCGTCTTTCTTTTGTTGCTGGCAGAGGTGGTCGCTTCTATCCTGCAACTTTGGCGTTGGAGGCGAGTGTATAGTCGGGTTTTTAGCATACACCTCGGTTTGTGTCTCTCAACCCTTTCTCCTCTCTTGCGTCTTGTGCATCAATGATGGTTATGATTACAAGCTTAGACAAGTTCATCAAGGACTAGCTACTCCGGAGACGTCATGGGTAGACCCCGGCATCCGAAGAAATGAGGTGAATCTCTCCTTCCCGTGGTCATCGTCAAAGGTAGAGAACGGTACTTGATTCTCGAGGATACTAGTTTCGTTTTAGCGGACCGCGCCGGGGACATGGGTTGAGCGAAACTAGATAGAAAATAGTTGAATGGAGTTATTTTGTGTAAGTCGGTTTGTAATTGGAACCTTATCCCCATTTGGGTTTTAATATATATATATATATATATATTAAAAAAAAAAAAAACACCACCCAAACGTAAATTGTATGCTCTTTTTATGGATTTTATCACTAAAATATATTTACCTACCTTAGAAAACAAAATAAATAAACTGGAAAGTGGAAACTCCTAGACTTCGATATTATCTATTCTCTTTCTCCTTCACGCCACTCTCTCCTTAAAAGCCAACTCTCTCTCCATCTCTTCTTCTTTCTGTATCTTTTCATCAATGGCGACTCTAGAAGACATAGGAGTCTCAGCTCTAATAAACCTCTTCGGTGCCTTCATGTTTCTAATAGCATTCGCTGTCCTAAGAATCCAACCCATCAACGACAGAGTCTACTTCCCCAAATGGTATCTCTCCGGAGACAGACACAGTCCTCGGCGTTCCGACGGAAACCTTGTCGGAAAATTCGTCAACCTCAACGTCAAAACTTACTTCACTTTCCTTAATTGGATGCCTCAAGCCATGAAAATGAGTGAATCCGAGATTATCCGTCACGCTGGCTTCGACTCTGCTGTTTTCCTCAGGATTTACACTCTCGGGTAACTTCTTTTTTTTCCTCCTCTTCTTTTTTTTTCTCTTTATAAATCAAAATTCTCGATCCTTAAGAGATGTCAATTTCTCGAGAAAATGAAAGAAAACTTTTCTGTTAAAAAGAAAAACTTTATTTGTTTTTCTTTCTCAGAAATAAACTTTATTTTTATTAAATTTAGGCTTCTTATGGTATTTATGAGTCTTAATTTGTGTGAGATACTGTTGAACTAGGTGTTTTGCCCGCATTTGCGTGCTTAATAATTTTCTAATATCTATAAAAAAAATATAATCAATTTAAGTAAATTATAATAAATTATTGTTTATACACTCAAAATATTTAATAATAATCTAAACAAATTCTTTCTATATGTAAAATTTTTCATCATTATAAAAATAATTGTCATTACACAAATTAAATGTGAAAATACTCATAAATTTAAAATATTAAGTAATAAATTAATATCAATTTTAGACATAACAAAAAAAGTATAATAAAATTATCTTTAGTAATGTAAACTATCTTTAGTAATGTAAACTATCTATACATAAATTCTTTGCGAATTAATTTTTTCATAATTAAATATATATTAACAAATATAATTATTTTCAAGGTTAATAAAGACTTATAACACAATATAAAAAATTAGATAATGATAATTATCAAATTCATGAAATTCGTTTTTAATTTAGAATTAATTATATATTAATAAATATTATTATTTTTAATATAATTATTTTTCAATGTTGATAAAGACATAATATAAAAAATATATATAAGGATGATTATCAAATAAATGAAATTCGTTTTAAATTTATAATTAATGATATATTACTAAAAATATAATTATATTTCAAGGTTAATAAAGATTTTATGACCCAATATAAAATAGTTTTAGATAAAGATAAATCTAAAATCATTGAAACTCGTTTTTAACTTATGTTTAAGTATATATTGAAAATTTTAATTATTATATAGTAATAAATCTTTTTTTTGGTCAAATAGTAATAACAATTAGTCATTATATAATAATAAATCTAATTAGTCATTAAATTTATGTTTGCTTTGTCATTAAGGGTAGTAAAAATCATAAGAACATGACAATTAGATTTACTATCCTTAATGGCGAAGCAAACATAAACTTAATGACTAATTAGATTTATTACTATATAATGAATAATTAGATTTATTATAATCATTAGTCTAGATAATGATAATCATCACATCATAAGAAACATGACAAATAAGATTTGTTTATAATTATTATATAGTAATAGATCTAATTAGTCATTATATAGTAATAAATCCAATTAGTCATTAAGTTTATGTTTTGATTTGTCATTAAGGGTAATAAATCTAATTAATACACGGTTCATAATTATATAATAATAATTTTATTTAGTCATTAATTAAGGGTAATAATTAATTATTAGTCAAAATCATAAAAACATGATATAACTACATAAAATTGTGGAGAATATGATAAATCAGCAAAATCATTTTTTAAATATAATTAATTTATTGTTACTTATATATTAATTCAGTTTTAATTTATGGTTTATTAATATCAACTATTTTTAGATAATAATAGTCATCAAATCAGTGAAATTTGTTTCTAATTTATGGTTGATTATATATTAATTAAATATATTTTTCTGATAACAACACAATATATATAGGAATTATATTTTTATTTATTTTTAAATATACATCTAGATTATGGATAATTCTTATCATTATTACTAATTTAAATCATTTATCTAATCAAAAAATATAAATTCGTTTTTTATTTTGGGCTGATTTATATATTTATTCATTAAGGGTATAAACGATATTAACCACTCCAACTTTTAACGTGGGAGCTCCGTTGCGAAAAATCACTTCGCAAATAATAGTATAGATTCTCGAGAAAGAAATTGAATTATCCGATAAAATTTTGGTATTTATGTTCTTGTATGTTTTCTTGGGGATTCCCGTGATTGTAATCTCCAAGAAAGAGTTTCTCCAAAGTGACATAATCCCGAATTTTCCGGTTAAAAATAATCTTTAAATCGTCAGAATATTTGTACTTTATTCTTACAGAACATCGAAAATACAGCTAAGTTTCAGATTTGTCTGCTCTGTATTCCACAAAGACAAAGCAAAAGCAATAATAGAAGTTTCTTTTGTTCTCACTGTTTCAATGCTTTTTTTTTCTTCTGAGAAAGTCACTTTTTAAATATCCATTTTTTTTCCTTTCGGGAAAGTTATGAGAGAATCTGCATAGTTAAAAGTTAAAACCCATATTTTTTTTTCTTCTAAAGATGTATTTTAAAAAAAATATCTTGTTGGGTGTTTGGCAGCTTGAAGATCTTTGCACCTGCCATGGTACTAGCACTCGCTGTTCTTGTTCCAGTGAATGTATCAAGTGGAACACTCTTCTTCTTGAAGAAGGAACTTGTCGTCAGCGACATTGATAAGCTCTCCATATCTAATGTCCAGCCTGAATCCTCAAAGTGAGAGCTTAGCTCTGAATTTTTAAAAATGAACCTTTAGTAATGATGGTTAGTGATCATTAAAATCCTATGTGTGATTGTTTAAGGTTCTTCTTCCACATTGGAGTAGAGTACCTTTTCACGTTCTGGGCATGTTTCATGCTCTACAGAGAGTACAATACTGTTGCATTAATGCGTCTGCAGTATCTAGCTTCACAGCGTAGGCGTCCTGAGCAGTTCACTGTAAGTGAAAGATTCAGAGTTTTTAACACCGATAAGTGAGTGCGCTACATCGTATTTTTGTAATGCAGGTTGTTGTCCGAAACGTCCCTGACATGCCTGGACACTCAGTTCCGGACACTGTGGAACAGTTCTTTAAGACAAATCACCCTGAGCATTACATGTGTCATCAGGTAAATATGTTTGGTCCTTAAATCGCTTATGCTTGTTATAATCAGTTGGATTTGATGGATCAGATCTTCTGGTTTTCAGGCAGTTTATAACGCGAACAAGTACGCAAAGCTGGTGAAGCAAAGAGAGAGGCTGCAACACTGGTATGACTATTATACTCTGAAACATCAACGCAATCCGCATAAGAAGCCTACTTGCAGGGTTAGTCTCTCCACTTCATTTGTCTAATCTAATTTAAATGATATGATGTTGCTTCTGATGAGCGGCTTGTGCATGTTCCAGACAGGGTTTCTTGGTCTGTGGGGTAAAAAAGTTGATTCCATTGAGTACTACCAACAACAAATCAAGGACTTTGACCACACTGTAAGCTACTCCTCCGTTGCTTTTCATTTACACCTGACACAACTTTGAACACGTTGATGTTGGTACAGATGGCTTTGGAGCGCCAAAAAGTTCTGAAGGACTCAAAACTGATGCTTCCTGTCGCATTCGTGTCGTTTGATTCACGATGGGGAGCTGCTGTTTGCGCACAGACGCAGCAAAGTAAGAATCCTACGCTATGGTTAACGAGTAGCGCTCCGGAGCCTCGTGATATCTACTGGCAAAACCTTTCTATACCTTTTATCTCTCTGACCATCAGAAGACTCATAATTGGTGTGTCAGTCTTTGCGTTGGTCTTCTTCTACATGATTCCAATAGCTTTCGTGCAATCTCTTGCCAATTTAGAAGGTCTTGATAGAGTTGCACCTTTCCTCAGACCTGTCACTAGACTGTGAGTCAAAGTTTTCATTTGTTTCTTGTTATATTGGACCACCCTTTGATTTTTTTTTTTTTTAATATTGCAGGGACTTTGTTAAGTCGTTCTTACAAGGTTTTCTACCTGGTCTTGCTCTGAAGATCTTCTTGTGGATTCTCCCGACAGTGTTGCTGATTATGTCGAAGATTGAGGGTTACATTGCTTTATCAACACTTGAGCGTAGAGCAGCAGCGAAATACTATTACTTCATGTTAGTAAACGTGTTCTTGGGAAGTATCATTGCCGGAACCGCTTTTGAGCAGCTTGACTCTTTCCTTAACCAATCACCAACTCAGTAAGTAACCTTTAAACTCTCTAAAGAGATTTCTAAGTTTTTGAATTAGAAGAACTCATAAGTTTATTGCGTGTTATACAGGATTCCTCGAACCATTGGTGTCTCCATACCGATGAAAGCTACCTTCTTTATCACGTACATAATGGTGGACGGGTGGGCTGGTATCGCGGGTGAGATTCTCCGGTTAAAGCCGCTTGTGATATTCCACTTGAAGAACATGTTTATTGTGAAGACAGACCAAGATAGAGAGAGAGCAATGGACCCTGGTTTTGTGGATTTCAAAGAGACTCTCCCTTCTCTTCAGCTCTACTTTCTCTTGGGGATTGTGTACGCCGTTGTT